TAGCTGATGCATGTATTGTAGGCTGTAGTGGGGTAGCCCACGTGGGGTACAACCCAATTAGGGTTGGTACTTGTACTTGTTTCATTTCATAGTGCACTCATTCCTCGCCTCTATCTCAACAGGTATGGTAGGCTGTAATCAGCCTCAATGCTATTATAACTGCTTTTACGAAACTGCATGAACATCTTAAAATTTCAAGTAACTCTGACACTTCAGACAAAAAAAAATGTGCCTGTCTGAATTTTCAGACTAAAATTTTGAGGCACCTCTGACAGACAGAGTTCCAGGAGGGGTGTACTCTGAGGCCTCAGACTACCTCAAAACGAATCTAGGGGCCTGGTTCTAGCCTAGGGTGTTATGTCCAGGACAGTGCCCTAGATATGAGACTTTTTACGCTGATTCAGCGTGTATTCAGACTTTTTTTTTTTACCTGGTCTGAACTGTAAGTTTTTTTCATGTACCTTCTCTGATTTTCCAGAGTTTTTTTTATTGTAACCGCTGAAATTTCAGCCAATTTTTAGGGGTGTAGGCTGAGCCTCAGACTTGTGTCGGGGGTGCACTCTGGGAGCTTATCGAAACGAAGTTTCCTGGAAGTTTCGTTTCGATATGCCCACTTCCGAGATGGCAGTGGAGTGCCAGGACGTGAGCAACGCACGCTTCAACAGCTGGGGCATCCGAATACACTCGTTCGTCGAGAATATCTCCCAGTTACACTAAGAAAATGGTTGCGTGATTACGAGATTTCGTAGACATTCGTCACATGTAAGTTATCGCTAATGTATTTTACAGAATTGGCGATTTTTATGCTGATTCTTTGTAAAAAAATCTGCAGCATGCACTGCTGTGAAATTGCGAAGCTCCTGATTTGTAGTGAAAGTTTCGTGCGGCACTGCCAGATGCTCACACACGCCACGCCAACCAACAGTTTCTGCCTGCTGCCAGCTCAGCTGCGTGGCACTTGGCCCACCTGGCACTGTACGTGACAACAACCAGATCGGGTGAATGATCACATCGCTTGAAACGCAAATCCAAAATTGACAAAATCGGCACACAGGCGAGAAAATGGGTACAGAACGGTAATCAGACACGCGACGAAACGAAATCTAATGAGCAGAAACAACCCATGCGCTGCATGTGACAAAACAACCAAGGCGATGCACGAGCACGTTGCCTGATGCAAACCCGCCGACCCTAACTGGTTCGTACCGCACAGTTGAGTTGGTATGCTGTAATCAGCTTCAATGCTATTATAAATATGCTTTTACGATACCGTATCGCCCCGGATATAGGCGCCGTCCGATTATAGGCGCTGGCGCCTCTATCTGGAGCATGGCGCTTATGGCCAGACCTCGATTAGAAGCGCCCCCCCTGAGATTTGTCTACTTATTATAAGCGCCACCATTCGACTACTTAGCTGGTTTTACATTGAAATCACATTCATAACAATATCATGACAGCAGCTACAACATCAGAGACCTGAAACAGCAGGTCTAGCAACACTAATTCTAGCTAACTAGTCTAGTCTTCGTCAGATTCGGGCTCCTGGCAGTTGTTGCCAAAAAACCCATCAGCGATGATGTCATCGTCGACGTCCACTTCCGCCGTCAGCTGGCTCCGCCTGTGCGCCATGGCGAGGCTGTCCTCACTGCCGTCGAGCGCGTTGCTGATGCCACAGGTGAGTAAGGCACGCTTTATCAGCTCGGCAGGCACTGACTTCCAGGCCTGAGATATCCACCTCAGGACGACCTCCAGAGGAGGCTTCTTCAAGTTCCCTGAAAATAACGGGAGAACGATAGAATCCCGTTAATCCAACAATACATACGGTAAGCAAAAGGAAGGGGGGTTGAAACACAACAACGCGCTCATTCCGTACCTGCTGTCGTCAGCTGCTCTTGCCCTTCTGCCTCAAACCACCGCTGGTACTGCTGGCGGACCGACGCTTTGAAGCTCTTGTTGATGGAGACATCCAGGGGCTGAACCTCCGCCGTACAGCCCGACGGGATGATTGCCGGCACGCAGTTCATCTCGCGAAGCTTGTCCTTCACTTCCTGGGTGAGGTGACCGCGGTAAGAGTCGAGCACCAGCATCGAGCTCTTGGCGCATCTACCGAACCTGGGCTTCAAGAAGGGCTTGACGCCTCCTCAAGCCAGCGGACGACACCCGCGGAGTCCATCCACCCGTTCTCGTGTGCAGCCACGACCACATCTGCAGGAAACAAGAGAAGCAGTTAGAATTCGCAGTCTGAACAAACCGCAGTTAACGAGCAGTGCACCAATTGACGTACCGGGTGGGAAATTGCCCTTTGGCACGGTCTTGCGCTTGAAGTACACCCACGGCTTCAGCTTCCGTCCGTCCGCCGTACACGCCAACATCACCGTCACACGCTGCTTCTGATACCCCGCGCTCCTGATAGGCACCGAGCGAACACCCGATTCATCCACGGTGGTGGTGGCGGGCATCTCCAGCCAGAGCGGCGTCTGGTCCGCGTTGATGATCCACGCGGTGTCGATGCCGCGCTCACGACGCATGCCACGCACGAACTTCCAGAAGCTTCTGCACTGCTCCGCGACATCTGAAGGGAGGTGGAAGGCAGGACGGTCACAGATGGCGGGTGTTAGTACCGGTAAAACAAGTAAACATTAACACGGCAAAGTACATGGGGTAACTCTTACGCGACTGGGTTTTCTGGGCAACCCGGGTCTTCATGCGGACACTCAGGTTCCATCGTCGCCGAAAGCGCTCCGACCACCTCTGGCTCCCTTTCCAGGGCTTGTCCGGGTACAGCAGCTTCATGTATTCCCGCGACCACTCCTGCAGGCGGCCGACTGATACGGCGGTTCCCTTGCGGCGCCACTCGAGAAGCTTCTCGTACACTTTCAACTCCATAGGCCGATACCACGACGCCCGACCGCGGCCGTGCATGCGTTTCCGAGCGGAGTGCACGTCTTTGAGGAACTCCGCCGCCCGCTTCCAGTTCGTGAGGCACTTGGGGTGGATTCCGCTCTCGCGAGCCAAAGCGCGCACCGACGTTGCCACAGCAAGCCTGGCAACCCACTTCAACTTCTCCGCGGCGGTGTAACCTTGCCTCTTGTGCTCAGTGAGCTTGTGCCTGGGAGAGGGGGGGCGGGCATCACGGTTCTGGGAAGAGGGGTGGGGTCGCTTGCGATTCATCGGGGGATAGGAAGGTATGGGCAGGGTCTCGGGAAGCCCGTCGCGTGACCAGTACTCCACGCCGTCATCGGCATCGTCGCCGGGAATGCCTTCGGGAAAAACATCTTCAGCGGAGCCGCCCTCGGCGCCGCCCCCGCCGCTCGCTTCCGTGCCATACTCGCCGCCGACAGTGCCGCTCGCTTCCTCTTTGTCAGCGTCAGCTTCGGCTTCAACATCATCGTCGGCGCCGACTTGCGATTCGTCCCACGGGCAGTCGTCAGGCTGTCCCCACCGTGAACCAGGAACGTGCTCCACTTCCACCCACTCATCTTGCGGCTTCTTAGACTCGGGTTCGGAAAGGTACTCGTCAAATGACGATGGGAGCAGCAGCGTCAGCACGGGCGTTGATCCAGCGTGTAGCGGAGGCGCAGCACTATGCGAGCACGGAGGAGTCGGAGGAACAGGAGGCTCAGGAGGTGCAGGAGGCGAAGGAGGAGCAGGAGGCGCAGGAGGCGCAGGAGGCTGTGGTGGCTTAGGTGGAGATGGTGGGACGCGGGAGTACCACCCGTCTTCGTCTACTCTAAACGCGGGCCTCCGTGGAGGCTTCTTCTTGAACAAGAAGTGAACCCCGGTGAATTCCGCCATAGCTTCCGCAGCATGGCGGGAGAGATCAAGAACCAAGAACGAAAAACTGAAAGAAGCAATGAACAAATGAAGGATTCAAAGGGACCCCTTCTGGCTAGCGCCACGGGGTCCTCGTCGAGGAGAGACGGGTGTCCCCTGTCTGAACCCGGAGAGGAGGGTTTAGCGCCACGCACGATGCTGCGCTAGCAGGGCATGATGGCCGCTTCTAGATGGTTCGGGTGAGGATTCTGCTGCCACCCAGCACACGAAAGCCTGATTGGGCCGCTAGGCAAGTTTCGCATCAGCGCTGGCAGGTGAGCTGCTCCTGGACGGGCTTTGTGCGGTTGGAAACCGAAGCGCGTCTGTTTTCGGCGTGTTTCCATGCATGATGCCATGCACACGTTACACAGTCTTGTTCGCCTTAATACGGGCTTCGATTTGATGCCTAAATTATGCAAATTCATTTTTACCATTATATACGGTAAGCGCCGGCGCTTATGGCCATTATTCAATTACAAGCGCCACCCTTAAAAAAATCGATTTTATTATAAGCGCCATGGCGCTTATATCCGGGGTGATACGGTACTGCATCATCATCGTCTTAAAATTTGAGGGTAACTCTGACAGTTCAGACAAAAAAAATTGTGCTTGTCTGAATTTTCAGACTACGGTAAAATTTTGAGGCACCTCTGACAGACAGAGTTTTAGGAGGGGTGTACTCTGAGGCGTCAGACTGCCTCAAAACGAATCTAGGGGCCTGGTCCAGGAGAATACGGTAAAAAAAACAAATGGGGCAATCTTGTATTGTACCTACCCTGTAACTAGAAACAAACCAGTGCAACCCGTGTTTTTTATAAGCCCACACTGCCCGAGGCGAAATGCACAAAACTCAGCGAAATGTTAAAATCACTTATGAGCCCAATGCACATACCGTAGCAACCTTGGGGTTGGGAATTTAAACAAGCAACAGGTGTACTATTTTGACAGCGTGCGCCTATAATTTCTGTCGGATTATAAGCGCATGACATTTTTTCAAGGTACCAATCCCTACTGTAAAAGCGCATGTCGGGGGGTTCGGAAAAATATAACTTACCCACACCACTTCCATTGTGTGCTACTTTAGTGCAGTGCGTGCAACACTCAATATGGTTCTGCACGGTTGCATCATGACTACGACAAGTGTCGCGTCTAAGTTTAAGGTCATTGCATAGTTAGTAAAATCTTTGTTACAATCGCTTCACATATCCAGTGCCCTTACATTCTTTGCAAAAGACCAGTCCTGCACATCAGGCGGCAAGGAAAAGGAGCAGATTCAAGGAGATTTTATTAATGCTGCAGTGGGAATACCGTACAGAACTAGTTACAGAACTAGGTGACAGGTAGGAGAAAGGCTTCTGAGGGGCTTTTCTTCCGGTCTAAGGCTTAAATTTTCCTTTTAAGCCTCCTCACACCTTCCTTGCTAAAAAAAACACCCCCCCCTGCCCCCTTGCATCTCCTCCCCCTCTCTCTCTCTGCCCCTTACAAACTCACCTGGCCCTTACGATCCCCTCCTGCACCCTCTCACCTCCCACCTGCCCCTATGTGCCCCACCTGCCTCTATGTGCCCCACCTGCCTCTATGTGCCCCACCTGCCCCTATATGCCCCACCTGCCCCCATGCGCCCTCACCTGTCCCCATGCGCCCTCACCTGCCCCCTTACACACGCGGCAATCCATGAGGCGCCCATCCTTGCCAGCCATCTTGCCCCCCTCGCAAAACACACACGCCGTGCCTCCTGCCAGCCCCATCACATACACAGAGGAGGGACAGCAAACGGGGGTGACGAGGAGGAAAGGGGATGGAAAGATATGGGTAAGTGCAGGGAGCAACCTGAGATTGAGCGTCAGAGAGATGTAGAAAGATGCAGGAGGAGCTGACGGCCAGTAGTGTCGCCATGGGGTGCCATGGTGCCATTGCATCAAGGTGCTACGTCATGGCGCCATGCCATTGCATCAATGCGTTATGTGGCGCCATGCGAGAAATGAAGAGTGACGAGAAGAGTTATGATGCTTCGTGGGGTGGCATGGCAGTGAGGTGTATGAAAAGGCTCTCACCATTTCCCCCGCACTTAGCACACGGCACTGGGTCGCCCTGGCACCATTGCATGCGGAAAGGCGGGGCACGGGCACAGGACAGCATGCAGGGCGCAGGAGAGAATGCGGGGCACAGGAGATAGGAGCAGGCAGATAGGAGGCGCATAGTGAGTGACCTCGGGCGAGCGTGTGAGACGTGGCGAGCATGTGTGCAGCGAGCATGTGTGCAGCGAGCATGTGTGCAGCGAGCATGTGTGCAGCGAGCATGTGTGCAGCGAGCATGTGTGCAGCGAGCAAATGTGTAGCGAGCAAATGTGCAGCGAGCAAATGTGCAGCGAGCAAATGTGCAGCGAGCAAATGTGCAGCGAGCATGTGTGCAGCGAGCATGTGTGCAGCGAGCATGTGTGCAGCGAGCATGTGTGCAGCGAGCATGTGTGCAGCGAGCATGTGTGCAGCGAGCATGTGTGCAGCGAGCAAATGTGCAGCGAGCAAATGTGCAGCGAGCAAATGTGCAGCGAGCATGTGTGCAGCGAGCATGTGTGCAGCGAGCATGTGTGCAGCGAGCAAATGTGCAGCGAGCATGTGTGCAGCGAGCATGTGTGCAGCGAGCATGTGTGCAGCGAGCATGTGTGCAGCGAGCATGTGTGCAGCGAGCATGTGTGCAGCGAGCACGGAAGCCAGAGAAGAAACGTAAGCGTGAGGAGGGGAGGCCATTGGAAGGAGGGGGGGGGGGGGGGGGGGGGGGCGTGCGGAGGATGAGCAGCGGGGGGAGAAGGGGTGGCGGAGTGGGTGCGCGGAGTGGGTGCGCGGAGAGCGGCACCTTGAGCGCAAGTCGCAGGGAGACGGCGGCGGCAGCGAGCGCGTGTGCAGCGAGCATGCGTGCAGTGAGCATGTGTGCTGTGAGCATGTGTGGAGCGAGCATGTGTGCAGTGAGCACGGAAGCCAGAGAAGAAACGTAGGCGTGAGGAGGGGAGGCCATGGGAAGGGGGGAGGGGGGCGGGCGTTCGGAGGATGAGCAGTGGGGGGGGAAGGGGTGGCGGAGTGGGTGCACGGAGTGGGTGCGCGGAGAGCGGCACCTTGAGCGCAAGTCGCAGGGAGACGGCGGCGGCAGCGAGCGCGTGTGCAGCGAGCATGCGTGCAGTGAGCATGTGTGCTGTGAGCATGTGTGGAGCGAGCATGTGTGCAGTGAGCACGGAAGCCAGAGAAGAAACGTAGGCGTGAGGAGGGGAGGCCATGGGAAGGGGGGAGGGGGGCGGGCGTTCGGAGGATGAGCAGCGGGGGGGGAAGGGGTGGCGGAGTGGGTGCACGGAGTGGGTGCGCGGAGAGCGGCACCTTGAGCGCAAGTCGCAGGGAGACGGCGGCGGCAGCGAGCGCGCCCGCCGTGAGGATAAATGTCTGCACGTCGCCCGCCCCGTCGCCCGCTGCTGCCTCCGCTACCACCGCTCCCGCTCCGCGCCGCCGCGCGGGGGAAAGGCGACGGATGCGTGAGGATGCGGCGGAAGGGCGGAACGAGGGACACTGCGTGGGGGTGGAGGCGGGGAAAGGGTGGCGCTGCAGCATGGGCGGAGAGGCGGATGGGAAGGAAGGCGAGAGATGAAGGCGATGGCGCGCCGTGGGAGGCAGCGCTGGGGTTGGCCGGCGATGCGGAGCGAGGCGATGAGGCGATGTCGGGGGGGTAAAGTCGGGGAGGAAGAGCGGCGAGGCGAGGGGCGAGGCAAGGCGGCACGCAGGCGAGCAGCAAGGCGGCGCAATGTGCGAGAGAAGTGGCGGCATGGTGGTCGCAATCACATCACAGCTGTCAACAGACCAATGAGGTGAATGGGCGATGCACTCATGCAGTTGTGGACCTAGTTTTCTTATGTGTTCGTGCTTTAAAACCCGCGTCTCATAATTTCTACCGTATTACACTTGGTTGGAAGGTGGCACCTGGGATTGGTGCACGAGCAGCGAACTTTTGCACGAGAGGAGGGGTGATTTGGGCGAAACCCAAACACTGTACCCTCAACACCAAACCTACTGCCCTAACCTGTTGGCACAACCAAACCAGGGTTACAGGTTTGTCAAGTTCTCACACCCTCTGCGACAAACCCATACGACGTAAAAAGCACACATTTTCAGGAGCAGTCATTCCCCTCCAGATCTCCGTCAACCACACCACCTCCCCGTTTTGGAGTAACACAGCGTCATTTCTGCCCTTGCCTCGTGTAAAGCTCTCACATCTAGCTCCAAAATCTCCCATGTAGGCCACCCGGATAATTTGCACGTCGCCAGTGAAATGTCGGAATACTCCGACTCCGTTGCGCATTCGCCTCCATGGTATCGCACCCCCAATACCACGCCTTCCCTTCCCGTCGCCCTCCCTTCCCGTCGCCTTCCCTTCCCGTCGCCTTCCCTTCCCGTCGACCTCCCTTCCCGTCGCCCTCCCTTCCCGTCGCCTTCCCTTCCCGTCGCCTTCCCTTCCCGTCGACCTCCCTTCCCGTCGCCCTCCCTTCCCGTCGCCCGCGCTTCTTCCCGTCGCACTCGCAATCCGTTTCTTCCTCTCTCCCCGTCGCCCTCCCTTTCCCCGTCGCCCTGCCATCCACTGCTCGTCGCCCTCGCCTTCCATCCCGCCTCCCTTCCCATCTCGCACACGTGTCACCCTACTTCCTGTTTTCCCTCACTCCAATAATCTCCCTGCTGCCCCCCACTAATACCCCTTCCCGCCTTCCCCCTATCCCCTTCCCTGCTTTCCCCAATCCCGCTGCTCCCACAGGCTTCTGACAGCCCTCTCTCCGTCCCCTCTGAAGCCCACGGCTCAGCTCCTATCAGAATTCCCTCATTCCTCCGACGCCCCCTACCCTAGGACTCCTGCCTCCCGATCCCTCTCCCCGTGCACGCATCGCACGCGCATCGTCCCCCTCTCCTCCTCCACCGCCCCTGCTGCCGCTCCCTCTGCTTCCCCTTGTTTCCCCCCTGCTTCCCCTAGTCTCCCCCCTGATTACCATATTTCGAAACTCCTCCTTCCCGTCATTTCCCCCTTTGCTTCTCCTCGTCTCCCCTCCTTCCCCTCGTTTACTTCGCTGCTTACCTCGTTTCCCCCTCTGCTCTCCTCGTTCTCCCTGTGCTTTCCCTCTTCCCCCCCCTCCTTCCCCTCATTTCCCTCCCTCCTTCCCCTCATTTCCCCCCTTGATTCGCCTCATTTACCATCTTGCTTTCCCTCATTATCCTCCCTGCGTCTCCTAATTTGCCCCTTGATTCCACCTCATTTCCCACCCTGCTTTCCCTGTTTGTACCTGCTTCCCCTTATTTCCCCCCTGCTTCCCCTCATATCCACCGCTGCTTCGCCTCATTGTCCCCTCTATTTCCCCTCGTTCCCCCCTTTGCTTCCCCTCACTCCCCCCTTTGATTTCCCTCGTTTCCCCTCCTCCTTCCCCTCATTTACCCTCCCTGTTTCACTTCATTTTCCTCCCCATCTTCCAGTTTGTACCCTCCTGCTTCCCCTCATTTCTCTCCGCTGCTTCCCCTCATTTCTCTCCGCTGCTTCCCCTCATTTCTCTCCGCTGCTTTTCCTCATTTACCAGGATTTCCCCCTCTGTTTCCCCTTCGTTTCCCCACCTGTTAAACCCTCGTTTCCCCTCTTCTCTCCCTCCTTTCATCTTCCTATTCCCCCATTTCCCTATCCCCCTCTTCCCTATCTCCCCTCATCTCTATCCTCCCTCTTCCTAAGGTATTTCCTTCTTTCTCTCTCACCCTCTTTCCTTCTCCTTTCTCTTCCCCCTTGCTTCCCTCTTCCCCCTCTTTCCTATCTCCCATATCTCCGCTCTTCTCATCTCTATCAGTTTGACGTTTTTCCTTTTTCCCCCTCCCCATACCTCGTAATATCCCCCCCTCCCCTACCTGGCTATTGCAGTGACTACAGTGAAGCTTTTTCTAGTACTGGTACTACAACTCGCTCAGCCCAACTTCCATGCCATACTCGTAGCGTAACCAGTTCCCCTCACGTTTTTTATTTTTGTATTCAGGGCCCTGAGAAAGGTTCTGTTCTATTGCTCCCCTTGACCTTTGCCTACAATCAGAAGTACCCTTATGACACTCTTTGTGCCAATGCATCTTGGAAGAATATCTTGCACTGGAAAAACAAAAGTACATAGAGAGAGAGCCTTGCAATGCAGACCTCCAACAGTAATACAGTAACATGCTTGCATACAACACACACGAGACAGGTGGTGGTACAATGTAAAGCATTGACTGGCTGTGCCTCAGCTTGCAACTGTTGCTCCTCTGCTTCACCACTGAAAATTAGGGAAGACAGGAAGAAAGTTAGCGGAGACTGGAAGAAAGAAGCAAGTGAAGAAACATGGGGGAGGTGGTGTGAGGTGCAACGGAACAATGGCAAGGGAATACAAGCAAGCGCACATGATGAAAGTATGTATGGGGAAATAGATGGGTGCACACGCATGGGAACAACAGGGCAGAAGGTGAGGAGTGAGGGGGAAGGGATGGGGAAGGGAAGGTTTGAGAAGGGATGGGGAAGGGAAGGTTTGAGAAGGGATGGGGAAGGGAAGGTTTGAGAAGGGATGGGGAAGGGAAGGTTTGAGAAGGGATGGGGAAGGGAAGGTTTGAGAAGGGATGGGGAAGGGAAGGTTTGAGAAGGGATGGGGAAGGGAAGGTTTGAGAAGGGATGGGGAAGGGAAGGTTTGAGAAGGGATGGGGAAGGGAAGGTTTGAGAAGGGATGGGGAAGGGAAGGTTTGAGAAGGGATGGGGAAGGGAAGGTTTGAGAAGGGATGGGGAAGGGAAGGTTTGAGAAGGGATGGGGAAGGGAAGGTTTGAGAAGGGATGGGGAAGGGAAGGTTTGAGAAGGGATGGGGAAGGGAAGGTTTGAGAAGGGATGGGGAAGGGAAGGTTTGAGAAGGGATGGGGAAGGGAAGGTTTGAGAAGGGATGGGGAAGGGAAGGTTTGAGAAGGGATGGGGAAGGGAAGGTTTGAGAAGGGATGGGGAAGGGAAGGTTTGAGAAGGGATGGGGAAGGGAAGGTTTGAGAAGGGATGGGGAAGGGAAGGTTTGAGAAGGGATGGGGAAGGGAAGGACAGGGCAGGGAGGGAAAGGCAGGGATGGGGAGGGCGGGTGGGTGGAGTCTGGGGGAGAGGGCAGGTAATATGTTATGAGGATGGTGGGGGAGGAGGTGATTTGCATGAGAAAGGATGGGAAGGAATGAGAGAGGGTGGGAAGAAATCCGTTAGGGTGGCAACGAATGAGTGAGGGTAGGAAGGAATGAGTGAGTGAGGGAAGGAATGGGGGGGAGCAGGAAAGGCGATGGGGGGAAGCATTGCAGGGGATGGGGGGAAGCAGGGAACGGGATGGGGGAAAGCAGGGAAGGGGATGGGGGGAAGCAGAGAAGGGGATGGGGGGAAGCAGGGAAGGGGATACGGGGAAACAGGGTAGGGAATGGGGGGAAGCAGGGAACGGGATGGGGGGAAGCAGAGAAGGGGATGGGGGGAAGCAGGGAACGGGATGGGGGGGAAGCAGAGAAGGGGATGGGGGGAAGCAGGGAAGGGGATACGGGGAAACAGGGTAGGGAATGGGGGGAAGCAGGGAACGGGATGGGGGGAAGCAGAGAAGGGGATGGGGGGAAGCAGGGAACGGGATGGGGGAAAGCAGAGAAGGGGATGGGGGGAAGCAGGGAACGGGATGGGGGGGAAGCAGAGAAGGGGATGGGGGGGGGGGAAGCAGGGAAGGGGATACGGGGAAACAGGGTAGGGAATGGGGGGAAGCAGGGAACGGGATGGGGGGAAGCAGAGAAGGGGATGGGGGGAAGCAGGGAACGGGATGGGGGGAAGCAGAGAAGGGGATGGGGGGAAGCAGGGAAGGGGATACGGGGAAACAGGGTAGGGAATGGGGGGAAGCAGGGAACGGGATGGGGGGAAGCAGAGAAGGGGATGGGGGGAAGCAGGGAACGGGATGGGGGGGAAGCAGAGAAGGGGATGGGGGGAAGCAGGGAAGGGGATACGGGGAAACAGGGTAGGGAATGGGGGGAAGCAGGGAACGGGATGGGGGGAAGCAGAGAAGGGGATGGGGGGAAGCAGGGAACGGGATGGGGGAAAGCAGAGAAGGGGATGGGGGGAAGCAGGGAACGGGATGGGGGGGAAGCAGAGAAGGGGATGGGGGGGGGGGGAAGCAGGGAAGGGGATACGGGGAAACAGGGTAGGGAATGGGGGGAAGCAGGGAACGGGATGGGGGGAAGCAGAGAAGGGGATGGGGGGAAGCAGGGAACGGGATGGGGGGAAGCAGAGAAGGGGATGGGGGGAAGCAGGGAAGGGGATACGGGGAAACAGGGTAGGGAATGGGGGGAAGCAGGGAACGGGATGGGGGGAAGCAGAGAAGGGGATGGGGGGAAGCAGGGAACTGGATGGGGGGAAGCAGAGAAGGGGATGGGGGGAAGCAGGGAAGGGGATACGGGGAAACAGGGTAGGGAATGGGGGGAAGCAGGGAACGGGATGGGGGGAAGCAGAGAAGGGGATGGGGGGAAGCAGGGAACGGGATGGGGGGAAGCAGAGAAGGGGATGGGGGGAAGCAGGGAAGGGGATACGGGGAAACAGGGTAGGGAATGGGGGGAAGCAGGGAACGGGATGGGGGGAAGCAGAGAAGGGGATGGGGGGAAGCAGGGAACGGGATGGGGGGGAAGCAGAGAAGGGGATGGGGGGAAGCAGGGAAGGGGATACGGGGAAACAGGGTAGGGAATGGGGGGAAGCAGGGAACGGGATGGGGGGAAGCAGAGAAGGGGATGGGGGGAAGCAGGGAACGGGATGGGGGAAAGCAGAGAAGGGGATGGGGGGAAGCAGGGAACGGGATGGGGGGGAAGCAGAGAAGGGGATGGGGGGGGGGGAAGCAGGGAAGGGGATACGGGGAAACAGGGTAGGGAATGGGGGGAAGCAGGGAACGGGATGGGGGGAAGCAGAGAAGGGGATGGGGGGAAGCAGGGAACGGGATGGGGGGAAGCAGAGAAGGGGATGGGGGGAAGCAGGGAAGGGGATACGGGGAAACAGGGTAGGGAATGGGGGGAAGCAGGGAACGGGATGGGGGGAAGCAGAGAAGGGGATGGGGGGAAGCAGGGAACTGGATGGGGGGAAGCAGAGAAGGGGATGGGGGGAAGCAGGGAAGGGGATACGGGGAAACAGGGTAGGGAATGGGGGGAAGCAGGGAACGGGATGGGGGGAAGCAGAGAAGGGGATGGGGGGAAGCAGGGAACGGGATGGGAAGGGGATTGGGGGAAGCTGGGAAGGGAGGGATGGCGAGGGCAACGTGGAGTGGATGGGAGGGCGAGAGAGACGAAGATTGCGAGGGGACGAGCGGGAAGATGGGCGACGAGGCGAAGGGGGGCAACGAGCGGAAGGGAGCGCGACGAGGGGAAGGAAGGGCGGCGGGCGGAAGGGAGCGCGACGAGGGGAAGGAAGGGCGGCGGGCGGAAGGGAGCGCGACGAGGGGAAGAAAGGGCGGCGGGCGAAAGGGAGTGTGACGGGCGGAAGGGAGTGCGACGGGCGGATAGGAGGGCGACGGGCGGAAGGGAGGGCGACGAGCGGAGGGAGGGCGACGGGCGGAAGGGAGGGCGGCGAATGGAAGGGAGAGTCAGGCTGAAGCGTGGGCGACGTAAGGAAGCGTGGGCGATGTATGGAATGGGCGACGTACCTAAGCGTGGGCAACGAGCGGAATCATGAACGACGCGAGGACGACGACGCGCGGGCGCGTACGTTTCGGCATCTCGCTTCAACAAGCGAGCAGGGGAAGCGGGGCGCACGCTTTGGAACCAAGCTAGGCGCATGGTTTCAGCACGCGCGTACAGGCGCGGCCTCTCGTCATAGCGACGAGAGGCCGTGTGGATAAAACGACGTGCCTGTGTGACGTTTGACGCTGGAATATATATAGGGAAAATAAGTGGCTGAAATGAGACTTAGTCGCTAGAGAAATCGGTGCAAGTATGTTCCCCCGCCTACAACCTGTCCGGGTTTGCAGTCTCATATTTTTTCAGCTCTTTAATATGCTCGGTTCTGGGCTGTGTGTCGCATTCTCAGTCCGTCGCACACGCAGTTGCCTGTTTCTCGCAAATCCGGCTTGGTAGTCCGGCACCTGCACCTACCAAACTGTTTGGTTTGCAGCCAGTCGCACCTGCGCCAAACCAAACGCGATTGTTTTGCGAGGGAGCGTTTGGTTACCCGGTTTCAATATGCAAAATACTCTAATATTCGACCTCTTATGTGGGTTTCAACGAGACGAGCTTTGCATCTCATGATCTGCTGAGAGCGCGAGAGTCCATTCCATCCGCGAACGATCTAAGTAGTGAAGTGACACCAACTGCCGCTGCAGCAGCGACAGCGGCGTGTCTGCGATCGAACCTTTTCCCAGGGCAAGCAATCAAAGTCCAGCCTAGCAAGCGACCATACACATCCCCCTCACTCACTCACTTGCTTCATTACGCTCAACGCTCGAGAGTCCAGTCTATCGGCGAACGGCGTGAACACGGATGCCAGCTGCCGCTGCAGCAGCAACAGCGGCGCGCCCTGCAGGCAAGCCCATCCATACGGCCTAACAACTCACACTCACATCACACTCCCTCGCCCACTCACTCACTGCTTCGTGATGCTGCTGAGAGCGCGCGAGCCCAATCTATCGGCAAAGGCATGAGCACGGACGCCAGCTGCCGCTGCAGCAGCGACAGCGGTGTGCATGCTGGCGTATCCCCCCAAAATCCAATCCCACTCCAGCCTACCAAGTGACCATACACACCTCACATGCTATTCACTCACTCTCTCACTCACTTGTTTCATGATGCTGCTGAGAGCGCGCGAGTCGAGTCTATCACGAACGGCGTGAGCACGGACGCTAGCTGCCATCGGAAAAATGTCCGCCCAGTTTGCAGCGGTTGACAGTCGAGGAGATGAAGCAGCGCGGGAGTTGATGGTCGTGCACCGAGTGCCTAGTTAATGAGGCAGTCATCTGCCCAAAACTGGTGGTTCCGTCAACTGTGGTTCACAATCACTTTTCGGTGAGAAGGCAGGTACAGCTGGGTGGTGGTTTATGAAGCAACCACGCTCGGATTCTGCAGGTTGCGGTCGTTTCACAACAGAGTCATCAACCACATCAGCTCAATGTGTGATGTTCGATTGGCCACGTGGACTGTAGGAACAGCGTCGATTGTGGCAGGAAATGGTGGTACACAACATTGCGACGAACAGTTGGGAACAGTGTACGTTACGGTTACCTGGGTAACAAATGTCAAAGTGTAACTGTATAAATTCATATGTTCCGCCCTATGTCGAGAATTTGTTTTTATACGTAAAAAGCGCGCATCGATATAATCACGGGTTGGACGTATGAATTAGTGTGACAGTATAAAGCAATTATCAATATATTTGTAATCAATGCGACTAAAAACGGAAACAATATTATTTGCTAAAAAATACAAGATGATTAAAATCAGCAAAATTAGGATACTTATATTGCATGTTGTGGAAGCTGCATAATATCAGTGACATCTACACTAATCACAGATTGTTAACGGGAGGCCAGGGGGTTGGAACGACACCAGAGGGGAAGAAAAACAGCTCATAACCCTCAATCAGGATCCTCACTTTCCCAACACCCATCTCGAACCCCTTCGGCTCATCGATCTTGAATGTGGCAGGCTCCCTTTCAAGGGTTTCCTTCAGCCATGCCGCCACCACCCTTGTCTTGGCATGCACGTTGTTGCGGTTGTTGGTCTCGTTGTTGTCAAGAGATGCATGACCCTTCTTGCCCTTGTGGTTCTCCAATGGCCATTCAACCTGCCACCAATGACATCACATGAGTTAAGAACAATATGCGGGGAGAAACAAAAATGATCAAATAACACAAGTGACAACTTACCACGTTGCAAAGATAGCCGACTGCTGGGATCTTCACTGCAAACATGTTGCACCGGGCGCTGACAAAAGCCTTCTTGACTGCCAGCTCAAAGGCCGCAGCAGCGAAAGGGCGGCCCTGAGCAGAGCAGTGCCAGTCATAGCCGTACTTCGCTGCAGAAGTGATGAACAATGGCAATCAGATATGAGCGCAACAACAGCAGATTGCTTGAGCAATAACAGAAAGGAAAAGCACACTCACGGTGTTTGAACTGCTCCACCCAGCCTTTTTCATCACGCGCCTTTGTTGGTGTGATGCCACCAACCTTCAAGAGGAACCATTTCTCCTCGTCAATGACGCCACCAGCACCCCATGCCCAGAGCTTGATCGGCTTGTTCATGTTCGCACGTTTGCAGCCAATCACCTTCAGCGCCCGTTCAATGCGCTTGCTGTTCCCGCCCATGAAGAGGTAGTACTCATCTTGCGTGGTCCCCTCGGCTATGTACTTGCGCACCAAATGTGGCTGGAATTCTTCCCACAGTGGATAGAACTCCATCTCTCCTGCAGGGGCAAGGGTGATGAGCCAGGCGTAGGTTTTACCCACCATATCCTGCCAATCACGGGTAAAAAAACGGAGAGGGTTAGATTTCGTTTCTCTGGAAAGGGAAGACATAAGTATTTTGTCGGGTCTCCGAAAAGACAGGGGGATGGTGGACGGGCAAGGAGCGGCCACGATAGGAAGTGTAGGGGGAGGGTTTAACGAAGGATTGATGAGGACATGCAATACAGCACAGTAGAAAACACCCACCACCAGAATCACATCATGGGTAACTAAACTTACATCGAATGCATCGTCGCTGCTGATTGATGACGGAATTATCGGGTTGTCTGCAACGTCCTTACGGACGTTCTCCATTCGGACCTGGGGGTCGGAAGGGTCCCGAAGGGCGCCCATGTCCGCGCTCGTTCCAGCGACTTCCTCTGAGAGCTGTCGCTGCATCGACTCCAACTGCGTTTTCAGACTATCGCGTTCCGCCTCCACCGCCTTCATCCTGGCCCGAGCCTCCTGCAGCTGCGCGTTCAGAGTGGAGACCGTGTTCTGCAGGTCACGCAACTGCGCCTCCAGCTGTCGTGCTTCCCTGAAATGGTGTGCACCAGCAACTACGGTACAAGACCCGGGAATAAGACGTATCGAGAAAGGCAGACAACAAGCAAGTGGAAAGAACAATTAGACAGTCATCCATGCGACGTTTTAAACAACGGAGCGCAGCTCATGGTAATAAAATGCAGAACACCTTGGCGAGAGGAGGGGGCGAGTGGGGGGCCGGGGGGGGGGAAACGTACGATAAAGTAGAGCCTCAATTCAAAACCTGGCACCGTAGCTATGAGCGTGGTGCGTTTGCTTACCTTGCGACCGTTCACGCCTTGCGAGTGCTGCCGGGTTATTAGGCTGCGAGGTGTGCGGCGCCAGCTCATCCTGGCGAGCCTCCGCAGAGCGCACATCTGCCGCGCGAACCGCAGCCGCGCGGTCCTCCGCCGCGCGAACCTCCGCCGCCCGAAGCTCCGCCGCTCGAAGCTCTGCCGCCCGAATTTCCGCCGCCCGAAGCTCCGCCGCCCGGACCTCCGCCGCCCGAAGCTCCGCCGCCCGAACCTCCGCCGCGCACACTTCCGCCGCCCGAACCTCCGCTGCGCGCAACTCATCGTCGTTTCCCGCTTGGACGCCGTCAGCATCATCTGCATCGTCGTCGTTCCCGTCTTCGTCATCGCTACCAGCTTCGATGCCGGCGTATGCGATGAAGGGATCCACGCCGCCCTCCTCTGCGGCCTCAATCACTGCTGCCATCATCGGACCCGGGGCTCCGGCGGCAGGAACGGGGGGTGCAGGGAGAGCTCCAGTATCAGGGTTTAGACGCGAACCGCAGACTATGCCGCCTGTGGTTGGTGCGCCGTTTTGCGTGGAGTCCGTTGCTTCTGCCACCGGTGCAGGGTTCGCGCCTTCTGCTTCTGACGAAGTGCCGGCGGTAGGGTTGTCAGCGGATGGCGAGCCTGCAGGAATGTTGCCATTCGCACCAGAGGATCGACCACGCGCACCAGAGCCGGCGGCAGCACGTTTCCTCTTAGACCCGCCCCGACGGCCTGCAGCTGCCGTCTTACCAACCGTGGGAGCGCCGTGGAGAGTGTTGACTGCAGCTGTTTTTAAGGCAGTCTCTTTAGCTAACTGCCGCCTCTTAATCTCTTCTGTAATAACGTCATCTCCCAGCTGTGACAATGCAGAGGCGTCGAGCAGATTGAGAGAAGAATGAGGGTGGGGCAAGGTGACCCCTGCTGGATCTGGCAAAATTCTTTTCCCGGTGCCTGCCCGCACTAAGTGTCCCCCGTTCTGAGCCATTGGTTTGAAGACAGTGATGGTTGACGACCAGTTAAACATACCAAATGGGGAAAATGCCACAACGCAACCAGCCATGAAACTATTTTTTCGCACGGCTTATTATCTGTAATTCTTAGCGACACAGTGACTGTTTGCGAAGTCTCAACCCGGAAAATTTTTATTTGAACTTTGATTCGGCGAAAATGGAAGCAAGGTAACATGCATATATGTGGATTACTATGCATACTACTAAAAAACGCACCCATAACCTATGCTACAAAGCAGTAAGTTCAATGGATATTTGAAACGGTAGTGATATAGTGCGACGTGAACGAAAAGTAGTGTTGGAATCACAGTTGCGCGTAAAAAACAAACTAATTTGATATTTACCTGAAAGCTAATGGAACAACCACGGTCGCGGTCAAGCGGTCTGTGTTCAACTAAAAATTTCCATCTCGTACAAGCACCACTTCGAAAGGTGCAGGTGAGACAAACGTTGCCACCGCGAGGACCTCGACTCCAACGGAGGTGAAGTCACGCGTGCGCGGCGCGCAGCGTGGCACGTATCTGGAGAAAATGAGTGAATGTGCCTCGTTTTCGACCATCGTGCTGCCAACAGGACTGTTATTGCTGCAAAATGAACCAATCGGAAGCAGCCACCAACTGTGTTGGCAACTGCAAGATTCCGACCGACTAGTGCGACACCGCCATCCACATTCAGGTGCACCCCACAGTGCGCAACACGAGGCAGTTATCCTTGTCTGACGGTGTCGCGTGTGGCAGCTGCCATTGCATCGATGGTGAGTTAATAACGAGGAAGCGGGACAAAGTATGCTGTCTGGTTCTGATTGCAAACGATTTGGCAACGTATTATAAAAAACGGATTGAAGTATATGAGTCTTAAAAGGCTTAGGCAGCCTAGATGGCTTTGCTTGCCTGGCAGGCCACTAAATTATACTACCCAGGCCAAAGTTTTCACCATGCAAACCTATTAACCAACCACTTTTCAGCGTCTTTGTCCGGGCGCACTAACTGTACCGCGCGCTTGATGCTATCAATACTTATTACTCGGTACCTCTGATTAACTCCCTCCCAGTGTAAAACCTTGCACTTGGTGGCTGCATCAACGCTGGCCTGTTCCCTGTAGTACTTGACGAACGCATAGATTTTAACCGTGCCCGCAACCTTGGCATGAAACAACAGAATGGTTTTCGCAAACCACTCCTCGTCCCCGTATGAGCCCTCACCTTTGACCGCCACATCAGAAAACCATTGACGGCCATGGTGCATGGGCAGGGCGCGGATGCGGTGCGGCAGGCGACTATACTGCGCATCAACCGCAGCTGGCATGGCGAGTTCCCAGTGGACCTGCAAAGGCATCGTCAACAAGAAGGGTCATATTGTTGGGGTACGGGTACAAAAGCTACGACGGGGCAGTCCAGGACACCGTACATACATGTACTTCCTTGATAGCTTCCCCATTGCCGTCACAGCCAGGTGCCCTATCCAATGCCGCACGCAAGTGTTTCAACTCCTCGCCGATGATGGCCTGCAACGGGCCATCACGCTTCGCGTCCGGCACCTGAGGGTATGGGGCTCCAACACGTGTTTCTGGCACGTGCAATGCCCAGCTCCTCTTGGACAGAACTCGCTCGCCTGTCCGTTGGGCCTGCAGGCATGGAACACCACCATCATCTCGTTACGTGTATTCCGATGGAACTTATCTAGAACCATACGCATAAGTCTAGTTCTTACCTTCACCATGGCGGTGTCATACTTCTTCTTCGCCATGAGCTGGGGCGCGATATACTGAAGACGAAGTCGTGCCTCTTCACTGCCGACGATCTGGCTATTGACTGACCGTTTATTCGACGCCCTGTAAGGGTTTTTAATGTACTCTATGTGTAGGTGCTCGTATAGTTGTGCAGAATAGTGCTCGGGCAGGCCCGACCTACGAATGGAGTCTATGTAGTGACTGATGAGGTGCATCTTAATGAAGTTCCAATCCGACGTGTGCGGGAATGCGGTCTTGAGGTTGTGTAACATCCTGCGCAGAGGCCAAAACAAGTTGATCAATATGTAGCAAGCAGTCAGAGAATGAACGCAACACACTGTGAACTATACTACTCACCGGTGTGCCTTTGTCTTGAACTCAAGGAGGGAGGTGTCGGTGTGTTCCGATGCCCGCGCGCACTCGAGGTACCACTCGATGTATGAGACGAGTGCGTCCATCTGCGGCTGCGTAATAAAACCCTTGACGATGAAGGGCAGAATCTGCATGACCGACCGGTGTTCGTATGCCTGATAGTTCGCCCCTTTTTCGAAGTACTGACCCGCGGGTAAACGCATGTTCCCCCCTCTAATACTTCTCTTGTAGTACCTAAGGATCCTGTCCAGCTTCTTTCTATCTGCCAGTAACTTCACATGCGCGCGAATGAAGTCGACAATGTGCTCGTAAATGCCCAAATCTGCTTGGTGCATCACATCGGGCAGCACCGCAAGGTACGGGTTGAGAATGGTGTCGGACTCCCACCTCCAGCCACCTAGGAAACTCTGCAAAAAAGAGAACCAGCACCTAGAGGTTAGTTTTGGACATGGTATAGCCCATAGAATGACCCTAAAACAGCACTTACAACATACTATACCTGCACTGGGTGGGTGGAGAAGGTTTCCTCCGCATCTAGTGCGAGCCGGCCTTCCAAGATTTCTCGCACAATGGTATCCTGCTCGAATGGTGTACGAGCTTGGATACGATCCTGCAGCACTGCCAAGTGCTTCTTGTCCACCTTGCAAATCGAACACGGAAACATAGTACCCAAGGATTTCGTGCACGTGATCTTGCACGACTCTGGGTAGTCCGACACATAAGCGTACAAGTAGGGCCACACGTTGATAGACTCGCCTGCAGCATTCTTCATAGCTATGCCGGTGTAGGATGCCGTCTTAAGAGATTGCAGCACCTCTCGCATGATGTAATTGTGGACTTGCATCTTGTCCACTACGTTGTACTCTGCAGGAAACTCAGGGAGCAGTGCTAGTAGCACGCGCCCAAAGGGTTGCCACCTATCGTCCTTATCAATGTTACCCAACGTGAGATACACAGGATGACCCTTCGCCTTCCCTCTATGATCCATATGCGTCTCGTCACTCGCAAAAATCAAAGCAGCCACAACTCCATCCGGATCCTCCCCCCGCACCAAAGTTTGCAACCTCTCCCACCATAGGCCTGTTTCGGGGGTACTGTACACCCTCACGTTCCCAACGTATTGAGGATCTGCATGGAACACCATCTTGGCAGCCAACTTGGGGTTCTTCAACAGGTCCTGCAGAGCAATCAGGGGATCACAGTACCAATACTCCAGCCACGCCTTGTTACGTGACCGGATGGTCTTTCGTCGCCAACCTCGGTGGCCATCCGTCGCCCTAGACTCAGCGTACGCCTGCACGTCTCGATAGGACTTCCAATCTTGGATTTCAAGAATGCTCTTGCGCAGGATTTCCAAGAGAGCGTTAACCTGACTGATAGAGAGTCGGTTGGAGAGGATCCAATGCGCAAGAGCATCCTTGAGGTTAAACTGAGGGGGATTTTCCTCTTCCGCCAGTGCAGCACCTGGTTGAGGTCCCTCCCCACCATCATCATCAGCACCAGATACAGCAGCATTACTAGAGGCATCATTATCTTGTTCAAAGGGCAGCGCGCTATCTACAGAATCAGAGGATGAGGAAGTATCACTAGTGTCTGCTGGATCAGCACGAGATATAGGAGGTACATCACAGCACACATCTTCCGCAACACCCGGTCCTACATTTGCATGCACAGGCTCCAACCTAAGTACTGCACGCGGAATAGGGTTAGGAGGGATGAAGCTCGACCTTGCGCGCTTGGGGGCCTGGAGCTGCTCGCTACTGCTAATGAGGTTTGCAGGGCAGGAGTTGCTCTGCATGTGGCGTCCCAAACCCGATCGAGTGTCGAATGCACAGAGTCGACATCTTGGGCAGAGAAATGACATCTGCCAGAATTTTGGGAGTAGGGAAGAAGGGGGGGAAGGGGGAAAGCAGAGAATACATGCATATGAGGGGAGGGGAAGGGGGAATCCAGAGAATACATGCATATGAGGGGAGGGGAAGGGGGAATCCAGAGAATACATGCATATGAGGGGAGGGGAAGGGGGAATCCAGAGAATACATGCATATGAGGGGAGGGGAAGGGGGAATCCAGAGAATACATGCATATGAGGGGTGGGGATGGGGGAAACCAGAGAACATATGCATATTAGGGGAGGGAATAGGGAAACCAGAGAACACATGCATATGTGGGGTGCGTACGGGGGAAACCAGCGAATACGAGCATAACATGGGAGCGGATATGAGAAACCAGAGAATACAAGCATATGAGGCCTTGAGAAGAGTGCACGAGAGAAAGGGACGAGAGAAAGAGTGCAGACTTGAAGAGAAACAGAGGGAAGAGAGAGAGGGCGCACTGGAGAGATTCAGAGGGGAACGAGAGGACGCGCACGTGAGAAGAGGAGTAGAGGGGAATGCGAGAGATGGTGCAAGGAATGAGAGAATGAGAGGGGAATGAGAGGGGAATGAGAGTGCAGGCGGACGGAATGAGAGAATGAGAGGGGAATGAGAGGGGAATGAGAGTGCAGGCGGACGGAATGAGAGAATGAGAGGGGAATGAGAGGGGAGTGAGAGTGCAGGCGCACGGAATGAGAGAAAGAGAGGGGAATGAGAGGGGAATGAGAGTGCAGGCGCACGGAATGAGAGAATGAGAGGGGAATGAGAGGGGAATGAGAGTGCAGGCGCACGGAATGAGAGAATGAGAGGGGAATGAGAGGGGAATGAGAGTGCAGGCGGACTGAATGAGAGAATGAGAGGGGAATGAGAGGGGAATGAGAGTGCAGGCGCACGGAATGAGAGAATGAGAGGGGAATGAGAGGGGAATGAGAGTGCAGGCGGACTGAATGAGAGAATGAGAGGGGAATGAGAGGGGAATGAGAGTGCAGGCGCACGGAATGAGAGAATGAGAGGGGAATGAGAGGGGAATGAGAGTGCAGGCGCACGGAATGAGAGAATGAGAGGGGAATGAGAGGGGAATGAGAGGGGAATGAGAGTGCAGGCGGACGGAATGAGAGAATGAGAGGGGAATGAGAGTGCAGGCGGACGGAATGAGAGAATGAGAGGGGAATGAGAGGGGAGTGAGAGTGCAGGCGCACGGAATGAGAGAAAGAGAGGGGAATGAGAGGGGAATGAGAGTGCAGGCGCACGGAATGAGAGAATGAGAGGGGAATGAGAGGGGAATGAGAGTGCAGGCGCACGGAATGAGAGAATGAGAGGGGAATGAGAGGGGAATGAGAGGGGAATGAGAGTGCAGGCGGACTGAATGAAAGAATGAGAGGGGAATGAGAGGGGAATGAGAGTGCAGGCGCACGGAATGAGAGAATGAGAGGGGAATGAGAGGGGAATGAGAGTGCAGGCGGACTGAATGAGAGAATGAGAGGGGAATGAGAGGGGAATGAGAGTGCAGGCGCACGGAATGAGAGAATGAGAGGGGAATGAGAGGGGAATGAGAGTGCAGGCGGACGGAATGAGAGAATGAGAGGGGAATGAGAGGGGAATGAGAGTGCAGGCGGACGGAATGAGAGAATGAGAGGGGAATGAGAGGGGAGTGAGAGTGCAGGCGCACGGAATGAGAGAAAGAGAGGGGAATGAGAGGGGAATGAGAGTGCAGGCGCACGGAATGAGAGAATGAGAGGGGAATGAGAGGGGAATGAGAGTGCAGGCGCACGGAATGAGAGAATGAGAGGGGAATGAGAGGGGAATGAGAGTGCAGGCGGACTGAATGAGAGAATGAGAGGGGAATGAGAGGGGAATGAGAGTGCAGGCGCACGGAATGAGAGAATGAGAGGGGAATGAGAGGGGAATGAGAGTGCAGGCGGACTGAATGAGAGAATGAGAGGGGAATGAGAGGGGAATGAGAGTGCAGGCGCACGGAATGAGAGAATGAGAGGGGAATGAGAGGGGAATGAGAGTGCAGGCGCACGGAATGAGAGAATGAGAGGGGAATGAGAGGGGAATGAGAGTGCAGGCGGACGGAATGAGAGAATGAGAGGGGAATGAGAGGGGAGTGAGAGTGCAGGCGCACGGAATGAGAGAATGAGAGGGGAATGAGAGGGGAATGAGAGTGCAGGCGCACGGAATGAGAGAATGAGAGGGGAATGAGAGGGGAATGAGAGGGGAATGAGAGTGCAGGCGCACGGAATGAGAGAATGAGAGGGGAATGAGAGGGGAATGAGAGTGCAGGCGGACTGAATGAGAGAATGAGAGGGGAATGAGAGGGGAATGAGAGTGCAGGCGCACGGAATGAGAGAATGAGAGGGGAATGAGAGGGGAATGAGAGTGCAGGCGCACGGAATGAGAGAATGAGAGGGGAATGAGAGGGGAATGAGAGTGCAGGCACACGGAATGAGAGAATGAGAGGGGAATGAGAGGGGAATGAGATTGAAGGCGCACGGAAAAAGAGAAACCGAGGGGAATGAGAGTGAAGGCGCACGGAATGAGAGAATGAGAGGGGAATGAGAGGGGAATGAGAGTGCAGGCGGACTGAATGAGAGAATGAGAGGGGAATGAGAGGGGAATGAGAGTGCAGGCGCACGGAATGAGAGAATGAGAGGGGAATGAGAGGGGAATGAGAGTGCAGGCGCACGGAATGAGAGAATGAGAGGGGAATGAGAGGGGAATGAGAGTGCAGGCGCACGGAATGAGAGAATGAGAGGGGAATGAGAGGGGAATGAGATTGAAGGCGCACGGAAAAAGAGAAACCGAGGGGAATGAGAGTGAAGGCGCACGGAATGAGAGAATGAGAGGGGAATGAGAGTGAAGGCTCACGGAATGAGAGAAGGAGAGGGGAATGAGAGGGGAATGAGAGTGCAGGCGCACGGAATGAGAGAATGGGAGGGGAATGAGAGTGAAGGCGCATGGAATGAGAGAATGAGAGGGGAATGAGATGGGAATGAGAGTGCAGGCGCAAGGAATGAGAGAATGAGAGGGAATGAGAGTGAAGGCGCACGGAAAAAGAGGAGCGGGGGGTAGGGAGAAAGAAGGCGCAAGGGAGGAGAGGAGCAGCGGTGTATGTGATAGTGTACGCACAGCAGGAGATGATGGGGACGAAATGCGAATGGCGCGGAGGGGAAAGAGAGTGCACGCACAATGGAAGAGAGGAGCAGCGGCACATGAGAGGGTACGCTCAATGGAGGAGAGGCGCAGAGAAGGAGATTGTCCGCTTGAACAAGGGAGGATCTGACTCACCTGAGCAAATAGCGACGCGCGGTATGGAGGATCGGACGAGAGATGGAATGGGAACAAGGTGCGAACAAGGAACGGACGAGAGGGGGAGACGAGCGAGGCGCGGATGCAAGCAACGGACGAGATCACGGAATGCACGAGGCACGGATGCGTGCAAGACACAAATGGCAAGCAACGAACGAGCCGCACTAATGACACCGTTCGTGATAGAGAATACGAGGGAATGAACAAGGCGCGCAAGGGAGGAACGCACGAGATAGCATCACGAACGAGGCGCGAAAATAAGGATCGGCCGAGATAGGGAACGGAAATAGGCGCGCAATAGAGGAGACAGCTAAATGGGGCGAGGCGCGCCACTCACTAAGGCCGGGAGGACAATGCGAAATCCGCGTGCTATATATTTGGGAAACAGATGGCAGTGAATAGACGAAAAGCGAACGGGAGGAATGGATGGTAGGGGGAATGGGGCACACGAGGAATGGAACAGAGGGGGGGACGACAACGATCACGGGAGAAGCGGACGATCGCGACGAAGCGCGCACGGGAGGCTGAATAGGACGAGGCCGCGTGGCGGGTAAGGGAGGAACGAACGAGAGGAAAAGAACGCGGCGCGCACGGAATGAGCCGAGGGAAGGGAGAATTGCGACGATCGCGTCGTGTTTAGATTGAAGGGGCACGGGAGGATTGGAGCGTTGCGACGGGAGAGTCTGGAGACACACCTGTGATTCTCGACAGTTGGTCTAACATCCCGCATAGAAACGCAACACGGTTCCACACGAAACCGCTCCAGACCCGTGGCGAGTAGTTAGTTCGTTGCCTGTACGGCAGATGGCCAAGTCTGCTGAAATACTCGCGATGGAATTTATAGCGGCGGAGGTGATCACCCAGACTAAATAAGACAGTAACAGGTTTAACTAGCACCAGGGCCTTACTACTTAGTCTCCATTGTGCTCACCCATGTCGAGAGAATTTTGCAGGGGTGATTCGAGTCTGTGCTCTAGCTCGAAATCCTGTTTGATATGCAGTTCATTCTGGTTGAATGCGGTGCTGTGCATACTATAGCGCATTGACAGGGTTTCTTTGCAGTTGGGTACGGTTTCGCAACCCCGAAGGTGAAAGTGGAGCCGTACTGACACCACCCAATCAGAAACTTCTGGGTGCACGGTTGCTAGTGGGTACAAGTACAACCAATGGTCACGTGTGAAAACACTGACGATTTCAAAATTGGCGCGAATCTGATCATCCTGACAGCTGCACCCTCAACTCTTGGTCAAATACCTCGATTTGGGGAACTCCCTAAAGCACGAGCATGGCAGTCTATAAGCATCGACACTGCAAATAATAAATCCGTAGTAACCATTTGAACTTGTAGGGGGAATAATACCAACCAGCAAAACAACATACAAAATTCTACCCTAAAACGTCCGATATAACAGAATTACTAAAAAAACGATACCACCGGTAGAAATTGCATTAACCGAATACAAAAACAACACAGCACCCATAATTTCAATTAACGATACAATAACATAACAATGGACTGGATTCAAATGTTAAGTACAATCCCTATTTTTTCTGCAACATTCAGACAACTCCCAACTGTATCGCGACGCACAGCTACGGAATAACACACCCACCCTGTTAGTGCTCGATTTCTGATTGTGAATGGCAAGAACCACCCACTCACTGCCTCGCTGGCAAATTGTGCTCAACTTCCGAAGTTGAGCACCGATCCTGGTGAGAGACCCAACACGTGGCTTCGTCAATCCCAAGTGGGGGAGAACAAGGGGTCACAAGACCAGTCAAGCAAAGCAAAGCAAAGCAAGCTCAGGGTGGATCACAAAGTCACCACACAGTCCGAGCACAAGAGCAGGGCCAGAGGCCAGTTCACATGCAGGAGTACAGACATATATATAAAAAACTAGACAAGCAAGAGCAGGTATATATATATGTCACAGTACAAGTGAAGTCAAGAGGAGAGCAAGTGAGGCAAGACAGGTACAAGACCCAGCTGGGTGCAAAAGCGCTGATGGTCACAAGGCGCGAGTGCCTTGGTGAACACATCAGCAGTGTTGGCCTCAGAGGCCACGTACGCAAGTCGCAACTGACCACGCTGCTGCAGCTCACGAGCAAGGAAGTAGCGGAGAGCAATGTGCTTCGTTCTGTGCTCCAAGCGCTGCTCTCGACACAAGGCCAGCATGGCCTTGTTGTCTACGTACAGCACTGGAGGAGAACGAGGCGGCTCTCCAAGGTCAGTCAGCAGGTAGGTGAGCCAGCGAAGCTCCTGTGCAGCCATGGCCCCGGCGTAGATCTCAGCCTCACAACTGGAGCCGAGAACTGAAGACGAGCGAGTAGACCGCCACGAGACAGAGCCGGAACCAAGGCTGAAGGTGTAACCCTGTGACGACCGCTGCGTAGCCTGGTCGTCAGCCCAAGAAGCGTCCGCGTGGCCGGTAAGGACCACTGGACTCCGCCCTCCAAGCACTAGCCCCATGCCCGACGTACTGCACAGGTAGCGCAATACCCTCTTCGCTGCAGCCATGTGCTCCGGTCTGTGTCTCCCAGGAGCAACATAGCGTGCAATAATGCTCAGAGGGTATGCAAGGTCAGGTCGTGTGCAGGTCATCAGGTACATGAGGCAGCCAACAAGCTCTGCATACGGACCACTCGACTCTACGGACTCATCCGAAGGCAGAGCTGAGAGTGAGTGGCGAGTAGGCAGAGGAGTGGCCTGAGGCGAGGAGTACGTGAAGCCGAAGCGCTGAAGGACCTGCTGCACCATGTGTGACTGAGTCAAGGTAATGGTGCGGCGTGCTCTGTCCCGAGTGATCTGCAAGCCAAGGTAGCTGCGCAGTTCACCCAGGTCTGTGCACGTGTGTCTCTTCAGCAGCTCGGACTTCACGTAGGCGAGTCCAGCAGTGTCCGCTGTGGCAAAGACCAAGTCGTCGACGTACACGAGGATGTAGAACGGCGGCAGGGAAGTGTCGGTGCGAAGAAACAGCGACGGGTCAGCAGTAGAAGGAGCAAACCCAAGAGCCGCAAGCGTAGTCCTCAGTGTGTCGTGCCACTCACGCGGTGCCTGGCGGAGACCGTAGACTGGCCGTCGGAGGCTCCACTGGGTGCCAGGAGGGAAAGTCCCAGTGAAGCCAGGTGGACGGCGAAGCCAGATCTCCTCGTGCAGGCTACCCTGCAAGAACGCAGTGCTGAAGTCAAGAGAGTGAAGCTCGTAGTCGCGCTGAGCGGCTATGTGCAGCAGCACCCGAAGAGTAGTCATCTTCAGGATGGGAGAGAAGGTCTGAAAGTAGTCAACTCCCTGCCGCTGACTGAAGCCACGAGCAACGTACCGTGCCTTGAAGACAGGTGGAGAGCCCGGCGGCCGCTTCACCCTGAAGATCCACATGCCACTGACGATGTTCGCCCCAGGAGGGGGAACCGCGTCAACGTAGGTGCCTGTGGACTTCCAGGAAGCCATCTCTGCATCCATAGCTGCCTGCCACTGAGAGGAGTAGGGACCCTCTACGGCCTCCGCGTAAGAACGCGGAGTCGGGATGTCTAGTGCATCCGGGTCTCCCTCAGGGGCAAGCAGTACAGACGCGAGATGAGGTGAAGCAGCCGCTAGACACTGTAACTCCTCCTGCCTGTCCTCAAGGACGTCCGTGCCAAGAGCACACTCACCCCCGACGGACGGAGGACAGACAGACGCAGACTCAGCAACAAGACCAGCAGCGTAGTCGAGACGACAGCGAGCAGCAAAGTCGACGAGCTCAGCGACAAGGGCAGACGCAGCAGTGGACTCAAACGAGGGGTCAGTGACGACAGTAGCAAGGAGACGCGTGACAGTAGGACTGGCAGCACGAAGAGAGTCCGACTCAGGGTCGGCAAGCGCAGGAAGAGAGGACTCAGGAGGAGAAGGCAAAGGGGCACGCAGAGGAGCAGTGGACGGACGCAAAGACATCCGGTGCGTGCCAGGGACAGGAGGAGGACGCTGACGCGAACTGCGACCACTAGCGCGAGCAGCACGAACAGGCGACGCGGGACGAGACGCAGGCTCACGACGCTCAGCAAGACCTCCAGTAGGACCAGTGTAAGGAGAGGGAGCAGGCAGTGGAGAGGAAGGCTCCAGTAGGGACTGCGACTGGACAGGCGGTGGACCCTCTACTAGAGGAGAAAGACCAAGAACCTGCTGCAGGAGCGGAACGAAGTACGGCCGAGGCCGCGCGGCAGCTCCAGACTCAGCAGGGACAGCACCACCACCCTCAGCGACAGCACCAGCGCCACCCACACCTCCAGCGGCAGGACCAACAGCAGTAGGCTCAGCACCAACGCCCTCAGCAGCTCCAGCTCCAGGAGGACCCGCAGGTCCAGCAGCTCCGGGACCGGCAGCACCCGCACCCTCGACGGTCGAAGAAGCTCCAGCTCCAGCTCCAGCAGCACCTCCAGACGCAGCAGCACGCCTCCAGCGGCGAGCGAACCACTCGCGCAGCTCCTGTGGAGAGAGGGGCTCTCGGCGAGACGCAGCAGCAGGAGAAACCCCAGGCTCAGCAGCTCCAGACGCAGCACCCCCAGGCTCAGCAGCTCTCAGCTCAGCACCCCCAGGCTCAGCAGCTCCCGACCCAGCACCCCCAGACCCAGCACCTCCAGGCACAGCACCCCCAGGCTCAGTACCCCCAGGCT